TTTGGAGGTGTATATTAAACGGATTAGATAGAACTGACTGTATGTGTATTAAGCTAGTATACATGTTATAAAAAATCTTTGTTGTTGATTTATTAAAATTTCAAACGGAAATGTAAGATACCAGCTTAATAATATAAATAACATAATGACACATTCTATTTTTATTTTAGAAGCAATATAAATAACTGATATTGCAAAGAAGGAGAAATCATAAAACGCTGGAAAACTGTCTTTATGATGTCTTGCCCGTTTGCTGGTTAAGATTATAAAAAAAAAAATGAGACTAATCTCACTGACAAAACAGAAACCACAAGGTACTAATGCGAATGCGAAAAAAGCCTCAGATGAATAATCTACATCTCGCGATAAGCTTCAACTTGTATGAATCGAATAAATACTACACTTTATTGAGCAGATAAGACTTACTGAGTTACTCTCAACGAAAAGGAGGCGCAATTCATTTCATTATACAGTATGGGGTTTGTAACACCCCCACTGTATAATAATAATAACTACAGATGACCTCCAACTTTTTCTATAACCAAATCAGTGTATAGAATCTGTCCATGAAATATGACTGCATTGTCGAATTAATGATAGTCAATCATATATCACCATAACAAAGATTTAATTTTTCAACTCATTCAATATTATTATTACTAAATTGGGGAAACATGCACTATGACCTAAAGACCTTTTGAGCCTCATTTATAAACTTACAGTACTTCTCCAAGACCAGCCTCCTCTATAAACTGTAATATTGAATGTAACTTACATAAATTTTTTTCTGCAACCGATATGAAATGCCAACCTAAGTACTTTTTTTGTTTACACAATAGTACCGGACAAACTTCTAACACGTGTCTTGTGATCCCACACTTTTCCATACAAATTCTACAAGTTTCATTACAGAATGTTCTCAGTTTTATAAGAATAAATTTCAACCTACTGTTTACTCTCGCAGTTCCTGTAATATGTCTCTTTTACTCAAAATTAATTCTTTTTTAAGTTACATACAACCCTTAAGTCTTATCATACTGGAAGTCCCTATAAGCGATTTCGATTGTGGTAGCTCTAGTAGATTGTCCTAGTACAACTTCCTATGTTTCTTCTCTTCTTTCTGTATGCGTAAATAGATATTACCTCCTCCCAAAGCACAGAGCTATTCTGGACTTGCAATATGCTAGGCTAACCTTATCTGACAAGTTTGACTGCAACTTTGAATACTATTAATTATTCAATTTTGTGTTATAGTGTGATTATAAATTTTCGTAGACCAAAAGCGTGTCACCAACTTTATTTGTAAATTTATGTTCATTTATCATATATTTAGTTGTAATGTAATAATACTCTGTTTCCATTATTTAATTCAATAAAATAGCTAAAAATGTCTGATAAGACATTTATTTCTAATTCTAGAATAAGAAAAAAAAAATACTTGCGCAGAGATACATTAAAAAGAATACATAATAATTATATCAAATTTAAGTAGATGAAGGTTCATTAAATTCACTAAGTAGCTAAAGTAGCCATCGTCAGCTTTGCTTACATCATCCCAGTTTCAGGCATTCAAAGGGTCTAGGTCCAGAAAGTCTGTTAAGTAGCCTACAAAGGTGAATTTCAACCTCAGCTTTCCTTAGCTTAATCCAATTACAAATATTAAAGTCTTTTCGTAAGTACGATTTATCTTTTTATACTAAAATAATAATTTCAGAATAGTTTTTTAGTTATCGTCTCACCATCGTTAAATACTTCAATTATATTCTGTTATATCAGTAAAATTATTGTATAATAAATTTTTATTCTTACATTGTGACCGAAAAGTTTCCGGAAAATTTTAAATAAAACGCAAAATTCTTAATCTTCATCAATATTTATTT